GGGCCTGGGCTGGATTCAGACCCACCAGCTCTGGTGTACGTAGCTGGCACCTTAGCTGCTTGAGCCACACGGGCTGAGCCTGCCTTTTTTTTTTTTTTTTTCAAATCCCCTGGGATCTCCCCACATGGCCACTATTGGTGAAAGAAACCAAACGGGTGACTTAGTGTCCATATAAATGCTATAAAGACAAACACTTGTATCTTTTTCCTTCAGTTTCCCAAGTAGCAGGCATAAGTGATTTATGCTAATGCAGCTTTCGAAATATAATGGTATTTAAAAATGGGTTTTAAGAGTAATTTTGTATAAGTATTGATTCAATGGCTAAAATAATATGTCTCTGGCCTTTACTGAATCTCAGCATCCTATAAAAGTTTTACGTGTGACTAAAGAGAGAAAATGAGATACTACACCATAGAAATGATGAATCTTCGCGACTGAGCTGCTGATTCTCAAATCATATAGCTCTTAATAAGAGCACTTTGTGCCAATTAACCCGCTTTGTGCACAGAGAAGCTGTTACACATTTAACAGGACTCACGGCATATTCACATCAATGCATCCTCTAACATCAACAGGTAAACAGCATGTAGAGAACAAAAAAGAGTGGAAAATTTTTGTATGACAAATTTTTAGGCGAAACTCTCCCTTGCCTGTGTAAGAAGATTTTAAGTTTTAATAAATACGTATTTTTCTAGTTAAAATTGGGACTGAAACTACAAAGAGGGGTGCAGAGAAGTGGCTCCCATTTCCTGCTGTCGGGAGTGTGAATTACTAGGAGCCATTCAGAAAATACTCTGATAATGTCTATGAAAACTGAAATAGTTTGACCCAGTCATAGAACTTTTGGGGAATCTATCCTATAGCAATAAAAGCACCGATATATATGATACGTGTACGCAGATGTTTTAAGGTGGCAAAAAAAATTGGAAGCAACAGAAACAACTCTGAACTGGTTGTTGGAATATTCTGTAGCTGTGGGAAGGCAGTCCTGGACAGCTGTCCAGGAAGCATTCGTGGAAAATGCAGGTTTCAGACTAACCTATTAGCACATTATACTCCTGCCTCTCCCCTCACGCTAGGGATACGTGTTTTATAAGTTTGTGAATTAAAAAGGCATAGAAAGATCCAAACCAGGGTGGTCCGCATTGTCTATTTCAGAAAGTATGAGGACGTAGAGGAAAATTC